AAGAATTTAAAAAATTTAAATTAAATATAACAAAGGCAACTTTTTCTATCTACAGGATGCATTAAAAAATTATAAATTTAGTGTAAATTTTTTTATTACATAAATTATTGTTACATCAACTCATTCAAGAATGTTAGGAATTCGTGTTGAAACCATTACATGGAAAAAAATTGTTCTTTATCATCAAATGAAATTAAAAAAGTTTATTCGCAAATTATTTTAGTTAATTGTGTTAAAAATGTTTATTTATTTTTCTTAATGCATTTTATTCGGAATTTAAGGCTTCAAACTAAATTTGAACATAAAATCAAACCTAAAATTTTAGTAAGCTTATACCTGTTACAATGTCAAAAAAATCTGATTCAAAAAAAGACCGCAATTTCTTACTGCCTTGTTTAGCATACCTAAAATAAACTCATACATAAAATTTCCTGAAAATCATTTCACACGAACTGGAGATAAGCATATAGACCGACATCTGTCTAAAAATAGACCAACGAAAATTTAACGTCCGAAATTAGGTGCCATCACATAATCTCTTTAATTGTGTGCAATGCGGTCGGTAATAAAGATAAATAACGGTAATAGCGCCATGGTACTAAAGTTTTGGTTAAAACCATTTCGACAGATGTTATCAAAAGTCATAGCTGGAAAATCAATAAATATATACGAGTACATACAAAAGGGCGTTATCGGACTTCTATGGAAACAGTAATCCCAAAAATTTTAATGTGTGTAGCTAAATTCGATTAAAAATCTTTATGAAAGAAATCACTTCAACTAAAATTAATTTGATACTGCTACATTTTAAATTATGGTGGTTTGCTTATTGAATAATATTCGATAATTTATAAGTAGATCCAGTTCCTAAGATTTTTTTGTAGTACTAAATGGAAAGTTCACGTGTTATCAAAGGTTTTAATGATAGAGAATGCTCTTATTAGTATAAATTTTTTTTTAAAGAATTCTCGTAATGAATAAAAGTGAATAAAATTAAAATAAATGCCAAAATATGAAAGGCTTCAAATGGTGACTTTGTAAATTTTAATACCGAGTTCAACTTTTTTATATCACCCTATATATTTCTACATAATAAATATTAATATCAAAAATTACCTACTTAAATTATTTATAGCGATTTTATTTAGTTTCTGTTTTTAAATTAGTTCATTTAGAGAATCAATTTAATTCTAAATGAAGATCCCCCAACCCCAAAAGCATAATGAATATGGATTATAATGTTTTTTTTTTTTTTTACATATAAGCACGTTTTTAGCGTACACAGTAAAGTTATGGTAACTGAACCTTTTATAGAATTATTGAGTTTTCTGATACTGTGGTTTTGTTTTTATTTAGAACTTCTAATACATTTTACTCACCATTTCATTTTCCCTTACTTTTCATAAGTTTCGCATTTTCAATATATTTACGACTTGATTTAACTACATCTATGGCATACTAAAATAATTTTAATCAAGTTTTGATAGTAAAACATGGAACTGAAAAAATTTAAATACAATAGTAGTTTCATTTCTACTTTGAAAATATAATTTCGATTTGAAACTTTATAAATTTCGATCTACAATTTCGATTTCTAGCTTGTTTTAAATATAAATTATTATTAAAGCAATGTTTCACCATAATTACAATTAAAAACTGCATAAGCCGAAGTTGGTAACTCTCAAAATTTAATCCATATCCAAATATTCATTCATGATGCAATTTTGTTGAAGTTTAAATGATACATCTAAAAAAATTTTATTAAAAAATTTTTCAATTAGTTTAATTCTGTTTATTTTTTCAAGTATAAAGATTTGAGATAGAAAGCTAAAATTTCTTAAACAAGTAGAAAATTTCTCTTCTACAATTGTAGAGAAACAATCTTGTATAGATTATTTTTTTAAAGAAAATTTTCACTTAACTTACTTTCTCTTCCTTAAATCCCAGCTTTTAAGTGGTAATTCCGCTGAAATCATAAGAAATTTTTGAGTTACATAAACCCAAAAAGGTTGCGACTTTAAATGTTCTATTTTTAATAAATTTGTAAGAAGATTTGATTATGTTAACTAAATTCTTCTTGTTAACCGTAATTTTGGACCACTCATTTGAAAATTTTTGATTTCGTTCAATAAGACTTTTCTCATAAATGACAAATCCAAAGTTCTAAAAGTATCAGTCTTATACTTAACTTGCTAATTTTTAATTAAAATTTTTCATATAAAACATAAGAAATAACAATTTCTTAATAGGACGAGATTTAATCCTCACTATTTGATTGAATTGCTTTATTTGTTTTACCCCAGTCATTTTGTTTAAATTGCCTTGATTCGACTGTATATTATGTATAAGTAAATACAATTTCAATAGTGGAGGTCCATTTTTAATATAATTCCATATAAGAATATGTATATTAGTTTGCTGATTTTATAATGTGATGTGAGGTTATAACTATATATATATAACTAGTACTATATCTGTATATATGTATTAAAAATGAAATGATAACTAAAATAAAATGCAACAAAGAATTGATTGTTGGATGCCAATAAATATAAATTCAAATTCACAATGAACATAATTGGTCTGATTCACTTGAACTTTATTAAGTTATATACAAATTATATTTATGTAATATATGAACATATATATACAAAGCAGAGCATTATTATACTATGTATAAGTGTATGTTAAGTTATAGTTTTAATATGTGATTTGCTTAAATTATGGGAATACAATTAAATGAAAATATTTTTTTATTTTTCGGATTATTTTCTTATTTCAAATTCTCAACAATAATATTGAAATGAAGATAGAACATATACATACATATATACCTATATATGTGTGTATTGTATCTAAAATATTTTATGTTTCAGATAAAAGCTGAATAGGCATATAAGATTCAAGATAGAAGGAGATTTTATTTAAATTTGCAAGGATTTCAATAGCCATTCTGTTCGTTGACTTTTCTATTAAAATTTTAGTATAATTTTTAATAGAAAGTTCATAAGTCAGTCATTTATTACTAACATTTAAGTAAATGGTATAATATACCCTCATTTCACTCTTAGACGTGATGTTATTTATTTTCAAACCAATAAAATTATCATATTAAGATCCCTCCTATATACAATACAGTGTTCAGTTGAACAAGAGAATTTTTTCCAGTAGAGCATCATTTTGATTACCCAAACCTAAATCTCTATAAAATATAAGGTTCACACTTAAATTGTTAAAAAGTGCTCGTTTGCAAAATTAGCTAGAACGTATGCACTTTTTGCATTAATACGGTATAAGTAATCTTTCAGAAACAAAACTAAACTAGGAAAAGATTTCATCATTCTACATTACTTAATAACATTACTTACGTAATCGTAATTTCCGATAGTACTCACTTCTGGATCTTTTACTTCTTAAAAGAAAAGAATATATTTCAAATCTACATAATGTACTTACATTCTTTCAAATTTTGTAAATAATAAATTATGTAAATAAATTATTGAGCGGCATTAAAATAATTTTGTAAAAGTGAAGGTAGCATGTATTAGAAATCATGCCATTCGATAAAAACTTAAAAAATGCTAGCTGTAAAATTTAGTAGGCCCGACTAAGATATATTCGCTTGTGTGAAATTTCAATATCATGGCTTTCATAGTTTCTAAGATATAGTCAAATAAATTTTGAAGTTGCAGCTACCCTAACCAGTATCACGATCATATGCAATTTGAATAGGGTTCTGGCATTTACTATAATAAATCATTTGTGAAAATTTGGTAAATTCAATTCAATTTTTTTTCAAGTTATCGTTGGGACAGATGGACTGACGGATAAACGAACAGACAAGGCTAAATCGACTCAGAATTCGACGTTGGTCTGAAACATATACTTACGTAAGTCTATATATCAGACCATTATATCTTAGCGTTACAAACGGTAAGGGAAATTTAATATACATTTCGAACACACGTTCGTAAGGGTACAAAAATTTAGTTTACTGCAATTCTTATCGGTATTTTAAGGTACCAATTGCCGGATGCAACTATCAAAATTACCTTAAAAAAAATCTTCACTCAAATAAAACCTTAGATAACAAAATCTTGTTTCTATTAAATTATGCCCTAGACATAATAGGTTTAATATATACTTAACATAAGTTACACCATTCTTGTTCAGCTTTAAGTGTATTTCAATAAAACGCAATCTAGCTAAAGAAATATTCTTTCCAATTTCTGCTTGTTTTTCTTTTTTTAATCAGAAATTATTTAATTCACGCGGTTCCAATTTGCCTTTTTTAAAACAAACATCTCTTAATATAAATTAGTTCGAAAAAAACGAAATAGCAAGAAAACAATGCATGAAAATAAAGTCTGACCTAAAGAAATCTTTTATGAGGTATATGATTTTTTCAAGTAAAGTTTGTGCATTTAATTGTTATCTGTTCTTTTGACTATAATCTTAATCGTTAATGTCATAATAAATAGTTTTTAAAAGTAAAAAGAATGCTATGGTAAACAATGGCGTTATGATTAAGGATTTTTATAATTCTAACAAAATATGCCAAAATAGAAATCTTAAATGCGGTTGTATATATATATAAAATTAAAATTTTTATGTTGTAATAATTCGCACTTATTGATTAAAAATCACCATTAAGTGAATTAAGGAAAGTTAAGTTTTATAATACTGCACTTAGTATGCAAATAGAAAATCCTTTTAGGTTATATGATTCCGAATTCCGTAAAGCTCTTTTAAGAAGAGATTGTTATAATTCTCAAGTGGAACATCATTTCGATCTGAAAATTGAACATATATAAACCTTTATTCTATTTATATGTTCCAACTTGTTATCGTTGTTATGATCGTTCCTTTTTCATATTGTCAAATTGTTCCGGTATGTTGTTGTAAACCTATATTTAGTATATTATATAAGTAAATGTTTGTATTTATAATTTTAAAATTGATATTAATTTTTGTTTTTCTATTTTCTCTTATATTTTTAGTGATTCAGCTAAAAACTTAGGATTTACTATTATAATAGATATGCGAGGAAATGGCAATTGTGCTACTAATGTGAAGACAATACTCAAAGTGCTACAAGAGCATTTTAGTGCTAATATTAATAATGTAGTTATAATAAAACCCGATAATTTTTGGCAAAAACAACGCGCCTCCGTTTCTAGTCATAAATATAAGTTTGAAAGTCAAACAATTTCAATAGATGCCCTTAATAAAATTGTTGAAACACATCAGCTGACAACAGATTTCGATGGTACACAACCATATGATAATCAACAATGGATTGAAGCACGTTTAGCTATTGAAGATTTCTTTTGGCAAGCTAGTGATATGGTAGATCGTATTGATGATTTACAAGAAGATTTAACACGTAATGATTTTGCTGAAGATGTTAATGGTGCTAAACATAGTTTAGATCATCACAACGAAATGAAAAAGAAAATATGTAAATTACCAGTTGATGACATTAAAATTCAAGGTCAACAATTAATTGCAAAATTAAATACTATAACATCACATCATCATCAACATCATCAACAGCAACAATCACAACAGCAACAACAGCAACAACAACAACAACAGCAACAATCTGGAATATGTGATGATGGATCTCATTCATCATCATCATCACCAGCTGGTTATAATCGTTCAACAAATCAACAGCAACCGCAGCAACAGTCACAACAGCAATCAAATCATCAGCAACAACAAAATTCAGCACATCAACCAACAACTGTTGCAAATCCAGATATGTCAGCAGCAATTAAAGTTGCAATGCGACAAATTGAACTAATACATAACGGTCAACAACATTTATTAACAATGTGGCAACATAAAAAAACCAAATTAGATCAATGCTTTCAATGGCGTCTGTTTGAGCAAGATTGCGAGAAAATGTTCGATTGGATATTACATAATCGGGATGTTTTTCAAATGAGTTACGTTGAAATTGGACATAACTATTCAGTTGCAAAAAGTTTACAAGATGAACATCAAAAATTTGCTGTTGCTTCAATGAATGTTTCTGTAAATATTGATAGGATATTAGCGGTTGCTGCACGTTTAATTGAAAGTAATCATTATGCTGCACAGCATATTAAAACATTAGCAACACGTTTAGATCGTACATGGAAAGATTTTGCTGCCGGTTTAGATGAACGAACCGCTGTCTTACAATTAAGTGTTTTATTTCATCATAAAGCTGAACAATATTGTAATAGTGTTTCATCATGGGCTGCAGCATGTCAAGCATCACAACCATTACCATCTGATATACAAAGTTTAGAAACTGCAATTAGAACACATCAATCATTATATGAGGCAATGTGCCAGGCCTATACCGAAGTACATTCAACTAGTAAAAAATTATTATATCAATTAGATCATTTAGTTCAGGTATGTAATCAACCACCTCCTCCTGGTGTTCCAGATCATCGAAAAAATTCAAGTTATAATAAATATGAAAGACAAAATCCAGCTGCCGATTATAGTGAAGGTGCTTCACATGTTTTAGCTGTGATACATCAAATACTCGGCCATCATCGTTCATTAGAAGCGAAATGGCATCAAGAAAAAATTAGATTACACCAAACATTAGCTCTAAGATTATTTCAAGAAGATGTTAAACAAGTATTAGATTGGTTAAAAAATCATGGTGAAGTATTTTTACGTAAAAATACTGGTATTGGTAGAAATTTACAAAAGGCAAGAGTCTATCAAAAGAGTCATGAACATTTTGAAAACGTTGCCCAAAATACATATAGTAATGCTGAAAAATTACTGTCAGGTAATTATTAATATTAAAAATTTATTAATTAATGCGGTTCATATCATAATTAGTTAATTATAATGGAATCACAGCCTTATTCTTTATCCAAAGATACCAAGAGATATAGAAATCGCACCATCGATGTGCTCTCAAAAAACGAGCGGCGTTATCGATGCCCCAATCGGTTCACGTTATATCTAAGCTAGATCGGAGCTGTTTGATCACACTGTTTGGACTGGCATCAACGAACAGAGTAGTGCCAATTCGGATACTGGGTCGCAGGGGCAACGAAATTGTTGACGAGGTGGCGTGATGTGGGTCTGAAGTCCTTTTCGGTCGGCACGTTCTCTTCCGTGGAGTGTCAATGCCTGCGGCAGATTTAACATTCTGCTTGAGGGGAGAGTCGAATAATTGCGTATTCACGATCTCCCCGGAAAAAATTTGCTTCTGTAATATATTGTACCTTTGTAAAATATTCAAGAACTTTACCAAATACGTTTTTATATCTCAGATTACACAATATTTAATTGAACCTGATTATTTTCGTGCCTCCGTTTTCTTTCACTGCTATTGAAGCAACAATAAATTGGTTGATTTAACAACATTTTCATTCACACAATCAGTTTTATTTTTACATAAATATATATTATGTATATATGTATACTAAGAGCTTTAGTTTTTTTTTTAAATTATTAAAGCTCTTGTGCTTTTTCATTAATAAAATAATTTTTTTCTACTTCGACACTCATCCCCCCAATCGTATATTTTAAAAAAAGTTCATATCTTACTACAATTTAAATTTCTTACGTATTTTATAAACTATATGAAAAACTGAATTTTAAATTTTATGCCTCTAGCATTAATATTGTATTTCTTATATACACACGTACGCACAATCTCATATCCTAAGTGACAACCCATGTCTAGCTTTCTTCTATCATTATCACAATTTTCGTTGTTTTTTAACATCTACTTTGTATGTGTTGTTGTTGTTGCAACAAAAATAAAAAAAATGTCTTTAAATTAAATTACACCTGCGTCAAGTGAAAATATTTTGCTAAATTATAATAATAATATTCAAACAACAACAAAATATCTCACTTCAGCTACTAGTTACTATTGCAGAAACTTGGTTTAAATAAGTTCATATTAACAGAGCACATATACAAAAAGAAAAAGCAAAACAAAACATTTTTTCAACGTACATATTTGCCTACTTATGCTCATATGAAAATTACAATAAACTTTGATTGCCCCTTTTATGAAATTTTTAGTTTTCTACTTGAACATGATGTAGGTATATACACTGATCTATACACCTATTCATTTAAAATTCAAGCTATTATCCACTCAGATCTTCCGGATTAACACTTAATTTGTGAAAAAGTGACAAAATAAATAAAAATAGACTTAAAATATTTAACTAAAAATTGTCTAAATCAAAATCTGTAATAGAAATACTAAAATATTATATTTATTTTTTAACACTCCTATCTTGATAATAGAGAACACATGTTTCTAACAAAACAACATAATTAATGAGGAAAATTTTTTGAGAAACTCATAAACAGTATATTGTTCAAGCTTAGTTTAAATATGTGATATTCAGTTCCATAAATTTAAATAAAAACATGTAGGTACGTTTTTCATAAATTTGTTTCCTGTTTAAAATTTGTTGTGATTCTTAAACTATCGTACGACTAAAATTCTTGGGGTTGTGATTACAATTTTTTTTTAAATATAATATATTGAACACTAATAATAATGATCTTGAACAAAAATTAATGTAATAATCTTGATTTTCTTATTGCTTTTTTTTTGTTGTAGCTGCTGATGATCTTGCACGATCCGGTGAAGCTGATCCAAATGAAATTTATTCAGTGGCACGTGAATTAGAATTACAAGTTGCATCATTCGCTGAAAGAGTTGAACAACGTCGTCGACGTTTAGATATGGCTGTTATATTTTATACTCATGAAAAAGAATTAACTGCGTGGATAGATACACTACGTACAGAAGTTTCAACAGATGAGACCGTATTATCACAAGAGAATCTTGAAGGAATTGAACGTGTAATGCAGCAATATCAAGATCAACAAGATAGTACATTAAATGGTTGTATGCAAACTATAGCACAAGGTGAAGCATTATTACAAGAAATGCGTTCATTAGAATATGTTGATAATACCGGTTCAATATCGGCATTAGAATCAACATTAGAAAAGTTAACAAAACAAAAAATTGAATTAGAAGAATTATGGTCAGCACGTAAATTTCGTGCTGATCTAATATTACGTTTAAGATATTTTGAACGTGATGCATTAGAGGTATCATCACAATTAGAATTATGGTATGAAGAATTACAACATGCTGAATTATCTAGAGATTACCAAAAAGCTGAACAATTATTAAGGATGCATAATGAATCTGTTTCACATATACAGAATACAACATATGAAGTATTACAACAGGGTCAAGATTTACATGCAATGTTTGAATCAGCTGGTTTTATAGCAATGGCAGATTCAACCCATACTGCACAAGCACGTATTCAACATTTATTGGACTTTTTACATCAAAGAGAAATGGAATTAGAAGATTCATCAGAACTGAAAAGATCACAATTAGAACAAGCTGTCCAATTGTGCCAATTTCAAAATGATGCAAATCAAGTTATTTCCTGGATACGCAATGGTGAAGCTATGTTAGTAGCAAGTTTTGTTACACCAAATAGTCTTACAGAAGCAGAACAATTGCGTAAAGAACATGAACAATTTCAAGTAATTTGAATTTAATTTTACACAATATTTCTATAAAATATTTAATGTATGCTATATTAATTAACCATTTACACTTTTAGGTTGCTATTGAAAAAACTCATACCTCGGCTGTTCAAGTAAAATATCGTGCTGATGCATTAATTAATGCAAACCATTATGATCCACAATCAATACGTGAAATATCAGATGATGTTACAAAAAAATGGCAACAACTTGTTACATGTGCTGAAGAACGGCATAAATTAGTTACAGCTTCAATAAATTTTTATAAAACTGCTGAGCAAGTATGCAGTGTTTTAGATAGTTTAGAAAGAGAATATCGTCGTGAAGACGATTGGTGTGGTGGTGGGGGTTCAAGTGACCGAGCCCAAGCTATTGTTCAACTAATTGCTAAACATCAAGAACAAAAAGAAGCTTTCTTGAAAGCATGTACATTAGCTAGGCGTACTGCAGAGACTTTTTTGAAGTATGCAGGACGTTCCCAGCAATATTATAAATATCAACCACAAGGTAATTGTGAGCAGCGTGTTAAGGAAATATTAGATAAACTATTGGCACAAGAAAATCAAGTATTAGAATTTTGGACACAGCGTAAAAAGAGTTTAGACCAATGTCAACAATTTGTACTTTTTGAACGTTCAGCTAAACAGGCAATTGAGTGGATTCACAATACTGGAGAAGCATATTTATCATCTAGAACTAATCTTGTTGGTAAATCACGCGAAGAAACTGAAGGTTTTCTTAAAGAACACAATGAATTTAGAAGTACTGCTAAAGAAACAAGAGAGCGAGTTAAGTTGCTAATACAATTAGCTGATAGTTTAGTTGAAAAAGGACACGCTCATGCTAGTTCTATTAAACAATGGGTTGCAGCTGTAGACAATAGGTAAGACTATATTTGTATTAAAATATGATATATAAATTGTTCGTTTCGAAAAAGAGTTCTCGATGTGTTTTATATGCACATTTGTTCGTTTAAAAATTATGGTTTCAAGTAGCAGGTTATATTGATATTGTAACACATTAACTTTAACGGAAATTAATACAAGTTTGCTATTTTCCTAGAAAGCACTAATTGTTCATATTTGAATCATAAAATTGATTTACAAACATTAATTTTGCCGCAAACTCACTCACTTTTTTCTCATTTTTACTTCACTCAAAAATTTTATGATTTTGGAAGATAAAATATATTTTTATAAGTTAAAATGCTGTCGTCAATGTTTTCAAGTGTCTGTTAAAAATTTATCAATCTGTCAAAAATTTATTAAATTCTTGTCAAAATTTACGTTTCCAAACACAATTAATTGTTAAAATATTAATTTAATTTAATAAACAGTAATGTGCACAAATAATCATAACAATAACGTAATTAATACTTTAATCAAAAAGTCTGCAAAATTCTGAAAAGCAAATCTTTTCATAAGAGAAATAATATTTTTCCAAGTGCCTGGAATAAAGTAAAGCAAACAATACAAGGTTTAATTTACTTTTAATTCCAATAGTTGAGTTTTCTTTACGAACATTTTTTCCATGAACATTAAAATTAAAATTTAGAAATAATATTAAGTATAAACAAATTTTCTAATATGCTATGTAGTTCCAATAAACTTATCAAAAATTTTGTAATTTTGTAACAATTCCTAAAAAATTTGTTCATCTAGTCAAAATTAAACATAGCTTTGTAATAATAACGAAATTTTATATGCCAAGTGGAATAATTTCGTTTTATAAAATCACCCTGTTCTGTATTTTCCAAACTAATACTTATTTTATATTTTTCATGTACATTTCTCGTAATCGCTTTTTCTTTTGAGTGAGAATTCTGACTCATTAAACATTAACATGATACCAATCCGTTATCAAATTACTGCAATATGTATTGCTTTCATCACAACACTGTCATGACAGTAAAAACTACTATTAGATCATACTATCATCGTTTGCATGCATTAATAATTGAGTATATTGCAGAAAAAATAACATTGTCTTGCAGACTGGTTGATCTGGTATTTGTTTTCGCTTTCGTTTATTTTCAATTACCCATGTTAATACAAAAAACAATTTGAAAGAGCGCAAAACAAACATGCTTATTGTTTTTGTTTTTATTTTTTGAGGGTTCAGATGAGATAATATTCAGGCATAGGTAGTTTAAAAAAAAATTGCATGTTATCACTTGCATGCAATAGGAGAGTTCATTGTTTATATACGTAACATACACAATCAAAGTGTTTAATAGTTTAAAAATCATAAATTATTTGAAAAATATTTTTGAAAAAAATTAAAAAATACAATATAGAAGAATACTAAAAATTCAAATATTAAAATAGATTATCAAATTTTGGAATTTTATTTTACAAAAAATAAAATATTTTTATGTTGATAGAAACCTTTAATATCATTCAACATGATTGGATACAAAAGTAAGTAATTTCAAGCTATTTGATCTTCTTAATCGAGAACATTATTTTGGAATTGAACTTTTATGTTATTTTATGTTCATATTAACATAATTTTTAATATTAAATTATTTAAAACACAATATTTAAAAATAATTTAATAAAATAAAATAATTTTTTTTATTTTAGGTACAAAGATTTTAGTAATCGTATGGACACATACCGTGAACAATTGGAAAAATCACTTGGTTTATCAGTACCAGCTGTAACACAAGACGAGACAAGTTCAAATCTAAGTTCAACTTCAGGTATTAATGTCATTTTAATATAAAATTTTAAATTAATTTTACCAGAATAGGGGAATAAATGTGTCAGATATTTATAAAATAAAATAAAATACTGATTTAGTATTATTTTTGTAAACTTTTGCAAACATATGGGCAAAAGAAAATCTAGTTTACAATATCCGTTGATACGAAAAAAAAACAAAGGTTAGGTTTTGTTTACGTCATTATTTTGAACCACGTAGAAAAGATATTATTTTTTTACAATGTTTTTATTGAACAAATAAATTATTTTTGGTTAAAACGTTTGCTTTATGAACTAGATAATATACTTAGAATTTTTTGTAGAAAAACTGTGGTGATAATTTTATTGTATTATAAAATTAAAAATAGTTTTTGAAAGGAATCACATTTATGTGATCGAATTGATATGTCTGATGAGATATATTCCATTAGACGGTAAATGTTCGCAGAGGATAGAGAAAATGTTTGGTGTTCACTCATTTATACAGCCCAATAAATTTAGTTGTTCTTCATAATAATTTTTTTTATAATATTTTCAATTAATTTGAATTGAAAATTTTTACAATTAACTAACTTGTTAGTAAGGAAAAATCTGATAAGAAACTTCGCAAAAACCTTATTCTTAAAATTTAATTCATCAGTAAACATAATTTTTAAATTATAATTTCATCAACAATTCGAATGACTGTTTCTTTTGAAGAAAAGATAATTGATTAAAATTTATTAAAATTTAGAAATCTGGTAAAAATCATAACGAAATAATAAGCATAAGCAAGAAATATTTAGCAAATATAATTATTTTATTTTTAGGTTCATCAGGTGATCGACATTCAGATCCGTCTTTAGAAGCAAAACTTGGACAGTCAACTGCTTCCAAAGAAGTTAATGAAGAAAAAAGAAAATCAGCACGCCGCAAAGAATTTATAATGGCTGAATTAATGCAGACAGAACGCACATATGTTAAAGATTTAGAAATTTGTATAAAACACTTCTTAAAAGAATTTCGTAATGGTTTAAATGTGCCACAGCAATTATTAGGAAAAGAAGATATATTATTTGGTAATATTGAAGAAATTTTTAATTTTCATGAAAAGATTTTTCTAAAAGAACTCGAAAAATATGAAACAATGCCAGAAGATGTTGGACATTGTTTTGTAACATGGGCTTCCAAATTTGATATGTACGTCCATTATTGTAAAAATAAACCAGTATCAAATAACTTATTAGTACAACACGGTGGTACATATTTTGAAGAATTACAACGTAAACATAAAGTAGAGCATCCATTGCCAGCATTTTTAATAAAACCAGTACAGAGGATAACAAAATATCAATTACTATTAAAAGATTTACTATCATGCTGTGAAGAAAGTCATGGTGAAATAAAAGAAGGTCTTGAAGTTATGTTAAATGTACCGAAAAAGGCAAATGATGCGATGCATTTATCATTACTAGAAAATTGTGATGTTTCCATTGATAGTTTGGGTGAAGTTGTATTACAGGATTCCTTTTTAGTATGGGACAATAAACAAATAATTCGTAAAGGACGTGATCGTAGAGTTTTTCTATTTGAATTATATTTATTATTTGCAAAAGAAGTTAAAGATTCTAGTGGTTCCGTAAAGTACCAATTTAAGAGTAAGCTAATGACCACCGGTAAGATTTACATTCTATAATTTTATATTGTAAAGAATTTATTTTAATTTATTTTAATTTATATTTTAGAACTAGGAATTACTGAACATATAGAAGGCGATGAAACTAAATTCGCTGTATGGACTGGACGAGCACCTATGCTCTCTGACTGTAGAATAGTTTTAAAAGCGAATAGTTTAGAAGTTAAACAGGTAAATTATATAATTTATGATTTATAAACGCATACTAATTATTAGACGAGACTGGTCTTAAGGTATAACAGAGAAAACTTCCCTTTTCCCTTTATTTTCAAAAATAAAGTTTTCTTCAGTTATTCAATAGATTGTTTTTAAATTTCTTTCATGTTTTTTGCAACCAAACTAAAAACTTTAAAAACAAAATAAAACAAACCAGAAAAACAACTTTATTTATATTTCCCAGATATATAAATATATTTCATATATATTATAACATATAAAGTTTATATAATATATCTATATTATATAAACTTTGTTTGCCACAAACACGCATTTTAATAATTTACAGTGAAAGTTTCCGTAAAGGCAGATTTCTTATTTTTTGAATTACACAATTTAAACAAAATTCTTAATAATAATATTTAAACTGTCTTTATATCATTATACTTAAACATCATTAAAACATTATAATTTTTCCTTTATAGATTTGGGTTAAACGCTTACGTGAAGTTATTCAAGAAACATGTTTTTCTGGTACATCACTGACATTACCTAAATCACCAGCTAAAGCTTCTGCTTCTGGATCATCCCAAAGATCGTCACGCGATCTCGATGAACAATTAACTGAAAATGATCATGACAGATGCTCTTTAGCTAGTTTCGGTTCTGGCAATACAACTGATAGTGATAACAAGGTAAGTGATATTGAATTTTCATAATTTTTTTATTGTTCTTGTTGATATAAAATGGTCAATTTAAACTTTAAAAAGAAATTTAAAAAAAAACAATTTAATTTTGCTAAATTGTAAAATTTTGGATACAATCAATTATATTTGATTTTATAAAAGTTTTCTAGTAAAGAAATTTTGGAATTTAGCACGTTTGAGTTCATGAAACATTCCAGTTTAAATCATATTGTACAGTGAAGTTTTTGAATTTATTGTAAAATTCTTTATTGCTGTTTTGGTTAACCATTCATTTACTTGCTTCAAAATCAAGTTACAATAGAATTTTATATTAATTTTTTTTAAAGTAGTACCCCAAAATGAAAATTCTATAATCTAAAACCTAGATTATATGAGATTCTTCTCAAAAGTTTAGACCCTCAATAATGCCACTTTTTAAATTCGGTGTTTAAATTTCCATGTTATTATTTTGCCTTTGTATATTGTTTTACTAGCGAAAAGCAGGCTCAATTTTGAATTTAATTTTGTTTTTAACATGAAATATAATATACATATAATATTCGATATGTACAATACGCTATTATTATTTAAGTTAATACAGAAAAAATGTTAATGATTTTATTCGTGATCTTCTTGTAAATAGTGTCAGTTGCAACTCTTACACTATACATTAAACCTTTAAATAAGCTAAAACCTGTTCAGGTTTTTCTAAACAAAACAAAAATCTACAAGAATGGGGTTAATATTTTTATTATTCATATAAACATGTATTGTATACAGTTGTAAAGGAAAATTCAAATAATTGATTATTATATTTTATATAATGAAATGAAGAAACAATAGCCTTGTACTTAATAAAATTTTAAAAAAATTATGACTAATTAGTTTCTTTATTAAAATTCTTTTATTTCTATAAAAAAACAAAAAAAAAAACAAAAGGATGGCGCCGATTAATCATAATATCTAAATAAATTATAAAAATTTTATTTATATTTAAATACAGTGTCGGATCTATCTCTAGTCATAAAATATTTAAAAAGTAAAATTGATATATTTTCTTCTATTTCAGTATGTTTCAACATATGAATTGATTTAATACTGAGAAGATGCAATCTTTAGTTCATATTCTTTGGCCCACATTTTCTTATGTTATTTTTAAAATTCCTTTTAAATATTGTGATGATAATGAAAATAACATTCGTTATTTTTATATCTTTTGATGTTTTTGAGTTAAAAAGTGATTCATTTTCTTAATATTGTTGTTATTCTTCTGTAATTGAGAATATTTTCATCGTGATCCAAATATACCGTGATATTGTTTTCAATATAAATTAGTTCTGGTGATTTTGCTATACATGTTTTAAATTTATTTTGTTATGGTTACATATGTATGTATGTTTTTATGTAAATCACATAATTAAGGTTTGTTTGGTACAAATACAATATAGAAATTTATTATTTAGAATTAAAAGGAAATTTTAATATTAAATTTTAATATTAAAGAATTCGCATCGAATCCATAAAAAACATAAAATGAGAATGGCACAATCGATTATTACTATTTTAATTAACTATTAATTTCTGTAATTGCCCTGTGATTATTTAAAAATTCTGTTTTCTGATCTAAAAAATATTTTATCATATTTTCGACTGGCGTGTTTAGAACCAAATCTTGAAATGATTTACAAAACACTTTGGATTAACATAAAAATAGTGAACGCAAGCAACATTCTCTTAGAAATTGTGCAAATCAAATTTCGATTGAGTCGAACATTGTGTCCGGTTAAATAAATTTCCGCTTATATATTTTACGTCGAAATAGTTAAAGATTCACATAAAACCCTTTAAGTTATATAAAATCAACCCTTTAAATATTGGCATAAAATCCATTTTTCGCATCAGAGCAATATAACTGATTATTTAATCACGGGATTTGTAACTTATGTAATTTATTTTTATACCCGTACGAACGTATGTTCGAAGGGTATACTAAATTTGCCTTACCGTTTGTAACGCTAAGAAATAACGGTGTTAGATATAGACTCAAGTGTATGTTTTTGATCAGCGTCAAATTCTGAGTTGATTTAGCTTTGTCTGTCCGTCCGTCCGTCCGTCCGTCCGTCCGTCCGTCCGAACGATAACTCAAAAACTAATTTAGCTAAGTCCACCAAATTTTCACAAATGATTTATTGTAGTAAGTGCCAGAACCCTATTTAAATTGGACATGATCGGGGTACCGGTTCGGGTAGCTGCTATACAACTTCAAAATTTATTTGGCTATATCTCAGAAACTATAAAAGTTATGGTATTGAAATTTCACACAAACGAATATATTAGTAGGGCCAATGTGTCACATAAAAGTCGTTGAAATTACTTGGCTCCTTCTGGTACCTGCCATACAACTTCAAAAGTTATTTGGCTATATCTCAGAAACTATAAAAGCTGTGATATTGAAATGTCACACAAACGAATATATTAGTAGGGCCGATGTGTCTCGTAAAAGTCGTTGAAATTACTTGGCTCCTTCTGGTACCTGCCATACAACTTCAAAAGTTATTTGACTATATTTCAGAAACTATTAAAGCTATGGTATTGAAATTTCACACAAACGAATATATTAGTAGGGCCAATGTGTCTTATAAAAGTCGTTGAAATTACTTGGCTCCTTCTTGTACCTGCCATACAACTTCAAAAGTTATTTGACTATATCTCAGAAACTATAAAAGCTGTGATATTGAGATTTCACACAAGTGAATATATTAGTAGGGCCGATGTGCTTGATAAAATTCGCTAAAATTTTCTGGCTCTTTCTGGTAAGTGCCATACAACATCAATAGTAGTTTGGCACAACCAGTATTTTGAATAACACATAGTACTGAAATTTTGCATAAATTAATATGGTAATACGGCAACTTAAAGTCATAGTCTGCCCCATAGTTAGTTATGGCACATTAGTTATTCGCGCATAGGATAACAAATTCGTACGGGTATCACAGAGTTGACAAGGTCAACTCTATTTTTTTTCTCGTTTATTTTTATTTTATTTTTTTATTTTAGGATTAATTTTTATAATATATATGTATACATAATTTTAATGAGCATACACACCTTCTTAAAATTTGATACTTTATGGTATCTTCAACAACTACTAATATATTATTTATTAAGGAGGCAAAAAAAAAAAACGAGGAGCATGTACTAAAATTATGATTATAGTTTATAGCCTAATTTTTTCCAACACTGGCATAATAGCATAATAAAAAACAATAATAACAACACAAGTTGTACATATAAACAAACGCATTAATGTAAATGTGCGCATTCATACAATTATTACTATAAGTTCTAGTGTAAAATTCCTTATTTTTCGATTATTAAATAAAAATATATGCTACAGTGAGGCTAAGTTTTTAAAACTAAGCATTGTTTTGTTGAATGGAAAGCATTGTTGATGGTGTGATAATATAAAAAGGAGTTCAATTTTATTCTTAGAAGATTGACGTGTCGTTATCGTACTGATGATAATTGATAAAAGGAAGGGTTCACTAAGTGCTAATAAGAACAGAATTTCACGTTTAAACCCAAATCTGTAAATGAATTTTTAAAACGTTACTATAGACGGTATTTTACAAGTCTACGGTATTTTACAAGTCTACGGTATTTAGCTCTACGGTATTTTAACAAGTTGATAGCTTTTAACAAGTTAAGCGTTTAACAAATTGATTTAAATTTTGATACAATTTTTTATTAAACAATATTTTGATAAGCTTAATATATTATTTTTGTAGGCTTATATGTAATCATATTTTTGACATTAATTTAAATGTAGATGTGAAACCATTAATGTTCTTCATTAATTACTCATTAATAAATAATATGTAGGTCATGCAAATATCAATTTAAATTAATAACTAATGAGCCTACCCATAATTAGTGAATGGTAACATTGAATTTTTAAGGGCTGTCGTTCGTTTCAATAAAAGCTTGATATAAAAAAAACAATTCCTTACAAAAAACGTGCCTACAAATACGTGTTAAAGAAAATCAGATATTTTCCAAATTATAATTTTTAAATATATTTTTTTAATTACACTTAATTCTGGGATCATTTACGATTGAATGTGGATTTATTTTTTCATAAATTGAACTGCAGAATAAATTAATTCTTTCAATAATTTTATAAATAAATTGTTTAGTTTCAAAACCATATGAATGTTTTTCGAAATTTTTTCGAATTAGCTATATATATTTGTTAAAATAAGTTTTAATTTAAAAATAAAGGCAAAATTTAAATCAGATGTTGAAATATAAGTTAAATTTTATGAAATTTTCCAACGAATGGAAAGTAGGCCTTTAAAGCATCAAATTTATCATTTCATATAGATCAGGCGTTTTAGATTGGAATAAAGAGCTGAATGTGAAAATTTTCAAAATCGAAATATAAATAGAATTTTCTTTTACATAGTTTATTTTAATAAATTAAAAATTATAGCGTTATGTATGTAAATACTTTCACATAAAAATATAAAAATCAATTCATCAAATAAATGTAAAATGTGCTGAAGAACGGAAATTTATCCAGTTTGGTAATTAAATTTTTATAATTAATTAAACGACTCGATTTTGTTAATATTATAATCGAGGGAATTTTTCTTATCTCGTATTTTTTTTTATTTCTCTATTTAATAAAAAAAATTGTTTAAATTATATAGTATGCAAAATAAAATTTTATTAGGTGGAAAATGAAAATTAAAAATTCAATCGTAAAATTTGGGATATCACTGTACACACGCTTAGTGTAAACATTAAAAAAGAAATTCCCATATGTATAACGTGTGTGATTCAAATATTTTTCTAGATTTGAATATTTAAGTAAAACAAAATACTTGTGGTTATGACAGGAACGTAATTTATAGCACCTTTAGAGCAAGATTGCTAAAATTCAATTTTATGTAAATTTCAGAACAAAAGATTTTACATGTTATGCATAAAAAAGAGCAATGAGCATA